CACATGAAAAAATATAAACATCCGAATTGATAACCTCCTCCTTTTTGAAGTCGGTTAAAAAGTATAATATAAATATATCTTATAGTAATTAGCAGTATAATAAAAAACAAAAACATGTATTTTAGTTACTCCTTCATATGTCAGCCATTCCACACTGATTTCATTGAAAAAAAACCTTTATAAAGATAATACTCGTATGTGAACCCCATGTTACAAATAAAAAAGTCAATTAATGCATAAAAACTTCTTATAAAATTATTTTTACACAAATATTTTAAATATTTTTGACAGTTGTTATAAGTTATACATATATAACTTAACACATATACATAATTACGGCTGATTAATTTAAAACAGCCCAGATAACCATAAACTATTTGACAGATGGTGTTTAATTATGCTTGATTTACTTTGGATGTGGACTAAAAGGCCATTTATTGCTAATTTATCGTAGCATTATGACTTTATTCGACTACATTTTTTAAAGGATTTAATAATAAAAAAAGCAAAGCGTTACTGTTTCAAAACTAATTTAAATTCCGACATGCTAATTTCATGCGTGAAATTGGCCAATGAATACAGATCAGTCAACAGTACTGGACGGATGAACAATATGGACATTTGTTAAAAATGACACGACAAACAGTTGTTTAATGTTCTTCTAGGTTCGAAAACAAGTATTATCGCAACACCGATCATCAATCATCAACACCCTTTATTAGTCCACTGCTGGACATATGCCTCTCTTTAGAATGAAGGGCCTGGCGTACTATCCCACGATGGCCAGGCGGGTTGGTATAGGGATTAGGTCAAGTTTTCCTTCTCTTAGCAGTACTGTTCTTCTGCGTAGTTTGCACATGTGACGTAACGATAAATGCGTATATAGACTCATGCCGCCCCGCTCAAGTGCAACTCAAAAGTCAGAATGGCGTTGAAGATCATTGATGACCTTCCCTCTTCAGAATTAGGATGTATTAGGTCTCCGGTAGTCTCACTCACTCAGTAAAATGTAACGAACGAATTGATTAACACCGGTTTTCTATGAGGCCGTGGTATCATTCTGGCCGAGCCCGCCCTTTTACGCCTAAGCACGGCTTTATCACGATTACGGTCTATTATTATTTACAAAATTTTTGTTTAAGCATTGAATGCTACTAAAACTTACAAACGCTGGTCCCAATTATGTAGTATAACCATATAAAATGGTATGAAGTCATGTTCCATACACATGCGGCCTTCTAAGTAGGCAGAGCGAGTACTATAGAAATCAGACTACTGATAAATATACAAATATATGGCTAAATACGTACACGTTATATATAAACTACACCCAAATATAGAACAAATAATCGAGTTCATGGTACAATAAAGCCCGTCAGTGTTGCTGCATTGCTATATTAGATGCTCTGACAATTTAACTTACTAGTTTTATACGATTTCATTTTTAATATTTTATCACTCATGATATTGTAGCAAAAAACAAAGATATTTCTTAAGCATACTGCTCGCTTTTACCTGGCTCATTTCTTTAACCCACGTACCGCATACAATATCGAGGCGACAAATTGGTCCTCGGTGGAAAGAGGCGAATAACCATTTACAAGTATTGTACTTTTGTCTTCATCACACGTACTGAACACGTGTGGTTCGTTAGTAGTTTCTAACGAGTGCTTTGCCTAGGAACTCATCCGAGCAGTTGAACATAGAGCTTGTCAGTGATCTTGTTTTCTTTGGTAAACATTAGTGAAAGTTAGACCGAGCACTTGTCAAAGGATGCACGAGCCATCTTGTTTAAAATATATGTTATACTCGTATATGTAATATGGAGTCCTATATCTGAGTTCAACTCCCCGAAGGAGAATAATCAGTGTAAAATGAGCATTACAAACTTTAAACTTTCTTGTCCAGTAATAATAATAACTTCACACATCCTAGACACGGCTGTCTGATCCCAAAAGAGGCGGTATTTGTGTTATTAATGGTAACCAGACTGCTGACAAGGGATCATCTCATTCCTGATGCGATCCCTTAGAGAAACATCGAGCATAGCTCTTTCTATAGCACGCTGAACGACTTTAAGCTTGTGGACCAACCGTACTGTAAGTGTCCACGTTTCGGCTCCGTATACACATACACACAATACATATACGTTGGAGATAAATTAGACGCAGATACAGAACAAATGATCATGCTCATCACACAATTATTTGTCCGGGGTGGGAATCGAACCCACGACCTCTAGCTTCGCAGTCAGGGTCACTAACTGCTAGACCAACCAACACATCGTCCTATGCCTCAAAACACCTCCTGCGAAGAAGCATATTCTCCACTTCTGTGAATGCATAGTCTCCACTATCCAGCACCGCTAGTGCTAAATACTATAAGTTATAAATATTTAAACCGTACGTTAAGATATATGTTACAAATTAACTTATTACGTAAAACCTTTCTAATCAGTTGAGCCATACTCATGTCTGCCGCCATTTAGTTCAATAACCTACCATTAAAATTATAGTGATAAACGCCGAGAAGCCGGCAGTTAACTTCAGTTAATGTGACACTGTTGCATTAACGGTTGATTAAATTAAATGTGCACTAACGCCCGCTTTGATTGGCACCGACAAAGATACAAAAATATTATGTTATATTAGTTATAATGTGAATATGGCTCATTAAGGTAATTTCTGTATATCTTTTTAATTGTTAATTAAGTGCTGTAGCAGTGATATCATCATTCATCAATAGGTGGCGCCTCTCAAGAATTAAATCGCGCTAACAAGTATTAATTGTAATTTAATGACCCTCGGTACATCGCCCAGGATCATTGAAGATTCAGTAGTAAAACCTAGTGTCTCCCTCTGGTACTAACTTAATGGTTTTAGAAGCATCTACCTAGTTAGGTCTTATAGGTTAAGTAAGATTGTCTGTAAATAGTGTTACTCTTTCGTTAATACATTCATTTAACGTTCAATCCTGGTTTTTCTCTACCTTCACCTCCCCAGCCTGTTTTACAGTACTAGAAATTTTGAGTGTCCCTACTATTTTGCTCAAATATAAAATAACATAAAAGTAAAAAAATACAAAAAGAACAAAAATAGGTCTTCTTAAAGTTTTGAATAAGATAAAAACCTGCTCTGCACCTAATGTCAGAGTGGAACATGAAAATCGAATAGCTCCTTAGTATTATATATCATATGTCATGTAAGTTTTTTTTGTTTTTGACGTATATAACACTTAAAATATATTAAAACAATAATATGTTAAATTTTAAATAAATATGTTATATTACAATCTCAGTTTATAGTATCAAAATTTAATCTACAGTATTCGACACTTCAAGCACATCGTTTCTAGTGAACGCTGTCCTTGAGACATTCATTGTTCAACTTTTAGTACCGTTAAGTAAGGCGGCGCGGAAATTGCTGAAACTCCACTGTCTCACTAAATTTCGTCATATCCCGATATAGGGTGAGAACAAACTTACCTAAAGCTTACGAAACATTTTCTTTCCCTCAGTCGAGGATATATTTACAGGTGATTGCACGCGTGTGCCGCAAATCTTAATCTACTTTGATCAATTTTATTTATCTAAAGATAGGTTCAAAAGTCATTTGAAGATTCATTTAATATTGCCTCTTTCTTTAAATAACTTTTACAAGAACAGTATTTCTTGGCCTACCTCTACGGGGACACAGTCAATGAGTGTTCCTAAAAATATTTATTCCTAAAAATTTGTTTTGTGTACGGCTCACCGTTTTGTAACCAATTTTTAACAACGAAAATGAAGATAGGAAATAATTGTGGTGAAAATTTATAAACACACTACCTCGACTTTTTCTTGACGAAGGTCACTGGCCCTTCTAAGCGCCTTAATGCAGAGTGGCAGCACAAATAACGGTAGTATAAAATAACCTAAAATATCCATTAAATTAATTACTAAACATCACTATCTATCACTGCAATGTTAATTTTTATAACGTTATCCATTTAATTAAAAGCAGTATTACTACATCTGTCTATTTATTAAAATAACCGGATTTTTACGGATTATTTATTTGACTGCACGGATGGCGTAGTGGTTTAAGTGGTCGCCACGCCGCTTACTGCTAGAATGAGTGTTGTGGGTACGATCCCCACATGGGACGACACTTTGTGTCCACAAATTATTATTCTGAGTCTGGGTGTTCTTTGTGTCCTTTTCATGTATGTTTGTAAAGTCCCCCGCGACATGGGATATATTCCTAAAGCGGAAATCGTCTTTTAAAACAAAAAAGAAAGTTGCCTTGTGTTTGAAAAATGCTTTTGAATGAGTTAAGATTGCATTGGAATCATTAAGATCATTAAGCTTCCTGAAATTTCAGTCTGTAATTTGATTTGTTTTGAAATATGTTTTATAACATTTAGTTATTTCTAATAGCATTTTAATAATGTCAGGAAAATGAATATGACTGTAAATTATTTAAAAACGATGCCCCACAACAAAACTCATCACAGCCGCTCTTTACTCGTACATGATGTTAGGGATTCTAAAGATACCTACGTCTTAAGGATGTAATGGACATCAAATTAGATCAAGAATGGATGGATTGTTAGAATGAATGAATTTAAGAAAATAAACCTTTTGTGCAATGGGAGAGGCCTATGTCCAGCAGTGGACTGCGATAGGCCGATGATGATGATGATGATGATGAAACCTTTTCTAAAACAATAACAATAAAATACCTACTGAAATTATTCATACCTCGTTTTACTTGCTGCTTTCCAGAAAAAAGAATGCCAATTTAACAATGAAACCGTTTCAAAGAAACGAAAATTTAATGAAATCAATTCTAAATCTAAATCTTTATTCAGTCTACGAGAATACAATACAAACAAAATGGCAAATGTTTATGGCAATGGTAATACACACGTTTCATCCATCTTAAATATAAACAAATACCTTCTCAGAAGTGAAACCTGTGTTTACTAAACATGAAATAAAAATCGACAGTAAAACTAACCTGATCTTGTGGCTCCATAGCGAACCTTTGTTCTTGGTATCCATGGCAACAAGAAACTAAGGCGATCAGTAGCAGGAACTGCACCCCGACATACGGTCGACTCCATTTCCGGCGACTTTCCGTTCTAAATTTGAATTCGGATATGCGCGCGCGCAGCCCTATAAACGGCGTTCCGTTTTCGAATGTCTCTTTGAATTGAGCCGCCATAGTTTATATGTTTGAAGCATATTGATGACAGTTAATCTGTTTTTGTCTCATTTGTGTGTATTTTTTTATTATGACTGCATTCACATATCTGTAACAATAAAAAAAACAAACATTAGATATTTTATAAAAAGATATTATAGGTATGTAGAGTTATGTAAGTATTTGATATTAAGATTTTCTTTGAATACTTAATTTTTATTTTTTTTAAGTTTGTAGAAGTCGATAAAATTCATAAATATGAATAAGACGTAGCTTTATATTATGTTCTACTGTTCCTTGCACAGAACTACAGTCACATTTTTTTTAATATGTTTATTGGCTACAATATTTACGATATTTTGCGAGCGTTGCAAAACATATGAAATGCCAGGATTCGCAACTTGCTTAGTCGCACCCAGGAATTATTGTGTTTAGTCGCGTAATTTTTTTTTTCAGAAGTTTGTTTCGTGTAAAGAATTTTTTAAATATCCAGTTTCTTGGAAATCCTATACAGAGTCAATATTCGTGGGTGGTTAACGATAAAAACTAATTAATGTGACGTGGTAAGCCTGTAATTCATTAAACATTTATCCAGTTAAGTCAACTTAAAGTAAAATTAGCATATGAATATTATTACGGATATTCTATAACTAAGTAAACGGATGTTTTATACTATAATAACCATATTTAAACTTGTTTAAATATGGTTATTACAGACCCCTGTAGGTTTATGTTTCGAGTATGGCTCGTAAATATGGCTACTCGTAGAGTCATATTTACGTCAAAAATAAGAAATATTAATTTAAATGTGGTTGATTCAATCAGAAGGATTTATTTGTTTGTACCAAGGTATTCATATTAGGTTACTGAGAGATAAAATCGGTAAAAAAAATCCCAAGCTCAAATCAAGAACTTTTCACATTCGCACAAAACACTATTGTAAACTGATTAAAGGAACCAACGAGTTTTAACTTTTACGATATTAATGCAACAAAGCAAACCTATCGAATAGAATTATTTGGATCAATTGGACCCTCCGATAATAGCTGATTCGTTAGAAATATGCGGTTCTGACCTTCGTGAGCAATAGTTTAAGCCGGTCCTTTGATCAACAATTTATATTGTTGATCGAAAAGCACGTTATGGCAATACGAATACACTGTCCAATCTATTCCTACAAGCCATAACGTTTCCCTTCATTTGCTTTAATTCTTTTGTACCGTTCTTTTTTCACCACTCAGATATTACCAAAGCTCGCCACCAGGCGGATACTATTTATGGGGTTAAGAATATGGAGTGACACCACTCCTATTCATCTCGTAGGTATCGTAAGAGCCGACTAAGGAAGTAAACTACTCAGAACAACAGCACTGCAAAGAGAAAGAAACTTTACACAAACTCTATACCAACCCGTCTGGCCAATGTAGTATAGTAGGCCAAAACCTCCTTTCTAAGGAGAGGCCATGTCCAGCAGTGGACTAATAAAAGCTGTTGATGATGATGACGATGTTCTTTTTTAACAGGAATATAAATGAATTGGGTATTGTAATGTTATAATAGGGAACACTCCCCAATCCATTCGTAAAATCAAAATTATTTCCCTTCGATTACTTCCCTACTTGTCTACCGTTGTCTTTCGAGATATGCCCAATTTTTTCACTTTTGATTCCTAAATCATTCGGCAAAATAAGAATATACAATAAAACTTCACCCTTTTCGATAAGTTGGAAACCCATGTACTCAACAGAATGATGTTCTTTATTTATAGGTAAATAGAGTCATCAGAGCTTCTTGATAGGAGCATAAGTGTAATATAACCAGCAATGTCTGGTAATGAAAATGGGTTACTTTAATCCATAATTACTTATTTGTATCTATAGGAAGAGGATATAGCGCCCACAATAAAACTTAAGATAAAAATAAGTATTTTATTTTAGAACTTCCCGTGGGACTCGGGTACGTGTGAGTCATGTACCGGATTCTGATCTTCAACAGATTGTTCATTCATGCTGTGTGACAGTTTAAGGGCATTTTTACACTTGGAAATTAATATTGGAGTTTATATGGCTGTATTTAATCATATAATCGATATACTGTAGAATATAATTTCTAATTAATATGCAAAACTTCTTTAAATAAAACTTAACTAAAAACATTAAAGACTATTTTGAAAATACTAAGGTTTGTGAGTCTTTAAGTGGTAGCCCGTGGGATTCACTAACAATAGTGGTCAACAACTTAAGCATTGTCACGTGTTACCTCATGCTACCCCTCTCCGGTTATCAACAACTAAAACAATATCAAAACTAATCCACAGAATAACTTGTGTTAAACACAGTCAAAAGGAAGGTAAGTACTTTAATTTGTACAGAAATCTGTTGATGACTACCTGCCTCCACACCTCCTCCAAACATGTTAAGTAATATTAGAAATGCCATAATTAATTTTTTTGTCAGTCTTTTTCGCTTTACCGATCATCATGAAACATTGTTATACACAATCTCAATTACTAATAATTTATTTCATCTACAAGAATTAGTACCCGACTGAGTATTTATATATTTTATTAAATTTATGTAGGTTTATGTATGTATGTGTGTTTATATATTGTGTATGTCTCTGGACCTAAATTATGTTAAATTTTATTTTGCACCTACCGCATCTCTACATCACCAGGAGGTTGACTGGGAGAGAATGCCTAATGGCATTAAGTCCGCCTTTGTACAACATGTGCATTAAGTTTAAAATAAATAAAGTAGGTTTAGCTTAGCACATAACTAATTAAGAGTATTTGAAGATGAGGCAAACAGGTCCACTTTATTCTGTGATGGCAGTCTGCACTCTGTGACATGCGGCTCATACTTCATTCGGCATGTCATGTTTGCTCATGTCATGTTTAATTAAAGATGAATGTCAGATTGAATTAATTTTCAATATACTTCTTGCACCCTGAATGAACCAGAAACCTAGCCATAATATATCTCAAACACTAATGTAATTTTATTTATAACTATTTAATCATTTAAAAGTACGAGTAATTGATGAAAATTAGTCTGTCACGAGGCCACTGACAATTTTTGGAAAGGGATAAAATAGCAACCATTTTTGCCATTTTGACATAACTATGAGAGTAAAAAGGTAAAGCTCTGTTGATGTAACAATGGAAATTATTCCAAATAACACATGTGTTTCAACTTTTTTTTGCCAAAACTAAACCAAATAGATCAAAAAAAGTAGGAAAACTTAACTAAAAATGTTTTTTTGTGAAAAAAAATTAACATACCATTAGTTTGAAGGAGATCATCGCTTATGTAAAATTCCGAAATAAAAGGCTTTATTATGTGCAGAATCTGCTAAATTGACTTCTATGTGGCTTCAAAAATTGTCGTTCATATAATAATTTCCATTTTAGCTTGAATGTTATTTGTTCCTTTTAATATATCATAAGTAAGTACATAGACACAGTAATAATTTCTTGGTCACCCAGTCGTCATAAGTTTCTCACATCTGCTGCCCCACGTGTGAGATGATAATGGCCGTAGTAGAACTCCAAGGTCATTGACATTGAACAAATTCTAACTTAAGTAAGTTTCGGAATCAAATAAAATAGAGCATTATATTTTCTAAAGGTAATTTGGTTTTTATTAAAATCAATACTAAAATTGTTATCTCTAATACCCTTGGATAGCGATTGTGTGAATTGTGTGTATATTGAAAGAAAATTAAAGAAACAATATAATCGATTGAAGTCATGTAATCGTTGGTCAATGTAATCGTAATGTTACAAGACACATGCGAACCTAGACGCGACTGCGGCCCACTGAATAAAATTGAAATGATTTCATTCAGTAGGTCAACGCATATCGCCCGTCAAAGTAGTACCTACGTTATAAAATGGTAAGTTACTACAGCTATTCTATGAAATACAAATTTTTCTATCGACCATTGATTTAGTCATAAGCAGTAAGTAAACTAATTAATTAAAACAAATATCTTAGAACACGATTATGCGCCTTATGTGCATTCATAATATTTATTACAATCATAGCCGAAAGACGTCCAGTTTTGGATATAGGCCTCCGTCAAGATTTGCCACAACAACCAGTCCTGTGCTGCCCGCATCCAACAAACGGACCGTGGGTAAGCCACAAGATGGTCTGACGGTCTGGTATTTATAATATTTCACGTAAATATCCTAAGAATAACAATATTTTTTGTCGGAATAAACAATTATATTATTATAGTTGATGCTCGTTATCACTTAAATAATTTAAAATATATGTCTGCGTTATCAAATTTAATTATCTAACTTCTTACAATCCACTAAAAATAAATAGAGACGTATGAGTTATATAAACGTTAACTTTCCTCTTCATTCATCAAAAGCGTACAGGATGAGTACAGAAATACTTCAATAAGTTCACATTAGGCGACATATCATTTCACATGCCCGCCATGTGTGACAGATACCAATGAAATGCGAGAGATAGATGTGGCAGGCGCTGATGATGTTGTCACACGAATGTAGCTGATTCATTCGGAATTTAGAGTACCGATAAATTGATTGTAGATTTATGAAATATGGCCAATGACCCGTTTTTAATTTTTGTTAAAAATGTTAGTTGCATGTGATTAATGCTATGGTATTAAGGTATCGTGTAAAGCTCTTCTCTTGTTAAAGGTAAAATGTTCTTGGTTCTATCAATCTCATTTCATCTCATTCAAATTCTACGATACTTTTGTGCAGCTAATGAAATGGGTTTTATGAATAATACGAGTCAAGAAGAAAATTTGCCAAAGTAGATTTAACAAATATTTATTTTGTTACTGTAATGATTTCGTACTCATATAATTCTCTCATTAATATTTTACCACCCAGACTAATACTTATATTATGTGTTATGTAATACTTTCTAAAGTTTGTGATAAATAAATAAATAAAATATTTTTGTAAAAGTAGCACTTATCTTCTCTAAATAGAAACTGAGGAATACAAACGTACAACAAACGACCTTAGTTTA